GTGACCATCTGTATTCACACTGATTGCCTTGTTTGTGGTCAGTTGACGGACCATTTAGTGTCCGCTTCAGTGACGGATTTGGAGGGAGGCACAGCAGGCCCTTACCATCGAGGGTTGTGGACCCCCCTCCCTCCCCATTCACCACCTCCACTCCCATCACACACGCACACAAACACACACACACACACATACACACACACGCACACACACAAACACACGCACACACACAAACACACACACAGACACACACACACACACACACGTACGTGTGCACACACATACGCACGCACACAAGCACGCACGCACACAAGCACGCACGCACACACACATACACACACAAACACACACAATAAAGCTCTTTCTGCTATCACAATTTATACAATTTATCAATATGCACTTGGGCCTATAGCCTCTTCTTTGTACCTGTGCCTTACAGCATTGTGGCATTTGTTCTATTTTTTTACCTGGTGAATAGATATTTTGTTAAGGTGAATGTCTGAGATGCAGGAAGTAAAGAAAAAGAAAAAAGGCAAAAAGTATTCCACGTCTTTTACCTCTCGTATCATATCTTTGTGGGTAAAGTATACCAGTAGGGCCTAACCACCCGAGGTTTCAGAACCGGCAGTCCTGGGTAGATATTTAAGAACCAAGTCTATCCTCAGTGACAATTAGGTTAACTTTTTTCATAGCTAGCCTGTTGTGTTAAAAAGGTTAAAAGGCAAACCATACATTAAGTAACGCGTTTAATCTCTTTTAAAGCGATTTGCTTTTTTTAACCAAATTTTGATCTACTACCGAGCTTTAATGTCTTAACGGCAATCTGTATGTTGGGGTTTTGATTGTGCTTTGGAAAGTCTGGAGGACAAAGTCATTAAGTGTACATGTAGTTCAAGAATTCATCTTTCATAATTCACATCTGAGTCAGCGAGACATAAACCCACGGCGTTTGACACACCGGTGTGAGCACGCACCTTCGCGTGTTAAGACGGACGCTGCAACAATGGTAGCATCAATCTAATGCCCGTAGTTGAATAATGTAGATCATGTTTAACAAACAAGTTCAAAGCAATTTATGAAGGTGTCAATCCCGGATGCTACAGCGGTGGTGTTGTAAATATTTTCAGAAGTTTGGCACCCGTTTTAGTTAAGAAGGAGGGGGGGGGGTCGGCAATTTGCCCATGTTTGTTTCTACTCTTGGATACATTGCGTTTAGATATACATGTATAAGTGGTGCTAACCTTGCCATTTATAAAGCTATAATCGTAAAAAAAGATAAAACATGTCTCTGACATGAGTTAAAGGTAATGGTGGCGTCTGAAGAGTTGCATCTCATCACATTAACGGAAACACTGTCAAAATATACATCTTTATGTTCCTTCGAAAGATTAAAGGTTATTACGGCTGCAAAATACAGAAACGGTGGTAGCTTGGATATATAAATTTGAGGATGTGGGAGATTTGTCACTGAGGGAGGGGGGTAGGTTGTAATCTGATTGGGGGGGGGGGTCTGCAATGTAGGGGTGGGGCCATGATCCGAGGGTATGAAGTCTGGTTGGAGTGGGTTCTATTAGCTGAGGGTCTGCAATCTTGAGATTCTAAAATCTGGGTGGGGGGTTGTAAACTGAAAGACGCGAGTTGAATCGATTTGTGGTGTAAAGTAGCGCACGTGTGTGACCACAGGTATATTTGTATTGGTGACATCAAAGGAAACTCACTCACGAGCACAACATTCTTCAGACGGTTGTAAACATCTTTAATTACAGTCTTATTTAACAATCAGTCGTCTCAATTTCTCCACACCAGAAGGCACCCAAACGACAACAAATCTATCAAAAATATATCACGAACTCCCCAAGTGATAGGAGAAAGGCACAGCATTTTGCCTATTTGGCGACTCTTGTCGAATATACCATCAATATTTAGCCAATTGCTAATAAAAACCTTGCTTGAAAACCTAGCTCGCAGAGTGCTGAATTTTTTTGAATAATTATTGCAATTAGAAGAGAGAGAGAGAGAGAGAGAGAGAGAGAGAGAGAGAGAGAGAGAGAGAGAATGGGAAGAAAATAGCAAGATGAGGGTAAGAGCGGAGGGAGAGGGAGACCTATCGGATGTGAAGTAAAATCTGTTCTTTAAAAAATGTTAACATTCAAAAACAACTTGCCATAAAAGAGGATGAATTTCAGTTCATATTTTTTGTTTTGCATAGATTGGGTCTTCTTCTTTTTATGAATTAAACTGAACACTATAGGGCGTATTCCCATAGATTTTAGATCGATCTATCCCCGTGGGGAGTCTCACTAGATTACTGTCAGATAATCCGGCTTAAATGTCAGCCCGCCTCCTACAAGCTGTAAGGGGGTAATTAGTCTCGTGCCCGCTCGGCTGACAGCTATTTAGCGTGAACCCCCAGGGAGTTAGGTCGATCTTCTTTGGATTGATCAAATCTCTGAGAATGGGGTCTTTTTCTCTCTATTGTCAGCATGCTTCTGCGCCGTTCGATAATAGGCATAGACTGGGCTCTAAAGGGCAGGGTGGGGGAAGGCAATGTCTTCATTGAAAAATAATTAGATTAAAATAGATCAATAATAACTGAAGAGACAATTTAAAAACGCCATGTAAGGCCACGTTTGTGAAGATATGCAACTGCGTCCAGATATTTTTTCTTTTATGTTAATAAATTCTTCTTCAGTAACCATTTTAGCTTAAAAGAATCCAAGCTATGTCTATCTATCTATCTATCTATCTATCTAGAACGCCAACAACGGTATGAAGTACAAAAAAGCGGCAACAGGAATATAAGCTCACAAAATAAACAACAACACACAGCTATCAACTTACCGTTCTTTTTCACAGAGCGGTATACTCTTTCTGCGTTTAATGATGGAGATGACCTTATTAAGATCGATTCAATATGATGTGACCCAACTACTCCAATAACAAGTGCCAAATGTGACAAAAAAAGTTTAGCCTAGTGCATTTGGAGAACATGTACTGAAACTGTACTTTCAGACTTTCCGTGCTAAAAATACCGATCCATCATACTGAACTGCTATTCTGTGCTATACTTTCACTGAGGGTTTGAATCTTTGCATGGCTTCTTCGTCGTCTAGCATGTGAAATGACAAAACTCCCCCTGGCAATGGACATAGTTATATAAAATACGTCGGGACCCCATTTATGATTTATTAAAATTAATGATTTGATATATGGCCCGTCAAGCTTGCTAACCCGTCCCGCCTTTCTCAGAGACCACAAGTATGCGTAAGTTGTCGTAATAGATCTCAGTCATTTCAAACAGGGGTATAAAGTTGATAAAAGATTATAATGAATATGAATTTTATGATTTGATAGTTGAAAATGATAAGGTACAGTTTTAATTAAATTATAGTTTAATGGGGACGTAATTGATTTTGTAACAGCGTTTCTTTTTTTTTCCTTATTCAGTTAATAGTCCACGTTACTGTCCATTTCATGAAGGTCATCATATTTTGTTTTGCTTGGTTTCATATAACGTACTTTATACTTTTAACGTTCATTTCATTTATTGACATTTTCCATTATTTTAGATAATCTTATTCAATCCATTAAAAACAAATTCAACTACATTTTGAATACTGCACTTGCATGAGTTGACCTATTTATTAAGGTCGACCCGCGTCCAATAAAACATGAATGAAATATTGTAATTGTGGTTTTATTTCTATTTAATAGCAACGATTAGGTCACGCCTTAACCTCAGGGGCAAGGTTTAATAGGAATCTCTGAGAAGTTAGTGATTTTATCAAGTTGTCTTATCGGCTTTATCTTTGCAGGTGTGCTTTCATATGGGGGATTGTACTGGGTATGATAAGAAATATTCCAATCGTATAGTTTGTTTAATTTCGCGTTGAGATTATTCAAAATACAGCTAAGATGACGATAAATAGGAAATATTAAGATCCAAATATTATTTGTTTTCTCGCTGCCAAGGTTGCATCTGTTGAGGGTGAACCAGGGTCGAGCGTATGTTCAACCACTCTGCCAGTGAAAACGTGACTGTGCTCTTCTTTAATGAAGGAGAGAATACAATATCTGTATCAGAAACTCATTATGGCCTTGTTTTAACAAAAGAAATGGATGTACATCTCACTAGATGGTGGAGATAACGGGTTAAGTATACGAGTACATGCAGGCATTCACATGAAGAGGAGAAAATTCACCGTACACAACAAACGTTCGATGTACAGGTCGAGGTTATAAGTAAATAAATACTATAAACAGTAAGCACAGCATAAAACAACTATTCTACTTACATGTAAAAAATGTCAATTTCGACAGGACGCTAAAACGATTGTTTCTCTAGATGATAACGATGCGTGCGCACACGCACACACACACACACACAAACACACACACACTATGATATTAATGTCTCCATCAATTAAGTTACAGTACCGAGGTACTTAAACTGAAATACTTTTTAATAAACGCAAACATAAATTCTGCATCAACTACAAAGAACTTCGGACTATTTGGAAAATAATTCCGCCTGCTTTACATTAGCACGCATTTAAGGCAGCGCATTTAATAGAGTCCATTATCTCTGATCCGCAACACAAATGGGCTAATTAGTCGTGTTATAGTAAACACTAGTAAACAAACACAGAACTGCTGTTTTTTTTCTACTCATAACTCTTACCAATCCCACCCTCTACACACAGAAGTTTAAATGGCCTAACCGACGAATTTGCCGTCTCGTGACGCGCTATGGATCAAGATCTTAATAACAGTTCATGACCATAGAATCATTCTTGTCTGTTTGAAAAGCCTGTATGTTTTTGTGAGCGTTTCTGCGTGTGACACAGCAAAGAGCGGTGCCCCACTCTCCTCTCCCTCTCCCTCCCCCCCTCCTCTCTCTCTTATACATTTGTACCTAGGACCCTAGCTAGGACAAATAAACACGTGGGCCCGATCTCATACATATATAATCTACTTATGGAATCTAGATCCAAGCCACGTACCTTGTATATTCACAATATTAGTAGATGAACATCACGTTTTTTTTTCGATTGCAGCTTTTCCTCCGGCCGTCACAATCTCAGCACGTGATCCCTGCTTCTGACGTCACAGTTTGAACACGTGTTGCCTCTGGATTTATCGTCACTGCTTTAGTTCGCTAGACTGTAGCTCTCCTTACGCCATACCGTATATTGATTCGCCGCCGGTACATCAATAGTAGTTGAGGGGTTGGTTAATCTCCTGATTTCTGAAACCCAAAAGGTTTAACTAAATGGTGGTTTTAGGATATGTTAGAAATCAGATGAAACGATAAATAATAGGCCTACTTCTTCATCATCGTTGTTGAACTGATATTGCGCAATTTTGCACTGAGCAGAATACAAACTCTTTACAAGACTTTGTCCCATGAGGAAGTCATATGGCATCATGTGAGCCTCCCGCGGAGCTGTTTGACGTCTTTTGTAATGTGTGTTCAACAAAAGCAAATTGCCTGATGAAATACACGTAAAACATAGTTCAATGTTAGTTTTATTACCGTAGTGCTATCACAGAATAAAAAAATAACGTGGCTATAGAATCCGACGTGACCGAGATCATCTTCGTCTACGAAATGATTGCCCTGGGTTTCAAAGTTTATGGGGAAGTCACCGCTATAATCACAAATACCTGAACTGTTTTATTTATTTATTTATTTATTTATTTATATTTGTTTTTTTCATGCTCGAAGCGTTGCAAATCATTTTCTAAATTTTGCATTCTTCCCTGTGCCCCCCCCCCCTCCTTTCCACTAGAAGATACCGGATCCTCCAGTATCCCCTGGCTAATAATCCAGTCTACTAAAAACCGCGGTGCCTGGGCTAAGTTAAGTCTATTCCGCTCACCCGCGGGACACGGTGCTCGGATTACGTCGCCACGGCGGTGCGACAGACGCGTTGTTTCGACGCAGTTTCTGCACTGCTCCACGGAGGCCGCTTTCAAACATGTCAATTATAAGTACTCTCTGAGCACGAGGTGCGCTAGCTGCCTGTTATAAAAATGTTGTATGGTTCACACTGTAATCTTGTGTTCTAGTTTAGAAGCCCCTGATATAGGAGGTTAACTCATAAGCCCAAGTAGGAGGCTCTCTCTGACCACAGGGGTCGCTAGTAGTCTCTTACTAATTTTTTCAATCTTCTTCAATTTTGTCTTCTATATTAGCAGCCCTTGTATTTCAGGTAAGGAGGAGGGTGAGACTGACGGGGATGCACTCCTTGCTTTCTATGCGCCATTGCACTTAGAAGTGTAATATAAGTATTGTCCACAGGCTAAATCGTTAATGAAATAAGAGATTATCTTTATGTTGTTATGTCCAAATTGTGTGTGTTAAGAACCGCGACAAAATTCAACAACACGAACCGGTTGTGACTCGTTAAGCCATTGTGAAAGTGAGCCAAAATTTCATTCTCGAAGCCGTCTCAAGCCAAGTTTAGCAGAGGCTTAAAAGCAGCGGTATGAAATGTTAATTGAAAAAAAAACGGCTCCCAATTTTTTTTTTCATATTCTAGTTTCGCAGAAAAACCTAAGACCGATTAATGGATTCAACTTAAAGTTTGAACATTTTGTTCTACTATAGAAGTTAAATCAACATACGTAAAATGACTACTGGTATAAAAACTTTCATATATTTATGTCATGTCATATAGAAAAACACAATGTATATCATTTTAAAAAGTGGGTCGCTGCAGATTTCACATAAGTCAAAGTAGACAACATTTTCGGCATTTAAGTTAACCCCAAATTCAGATCAAAATTATGTAAACGTTGTTAAACTTCCCATTTGTTAAGATGAGGTTGCAACCCCCCCCCCTCCCCTTCTTCCTCTGTATCCTTCTGTTGAAAAGAAATTTGTAGCAGCAGCAGTGACTTAATAAAATAATTGCGGTTCACTACCACTGTCCACAATCATCCTCTTATTAAATTTGTTAACACAGATAAAATCGCAGGCCCTGGTACGAGATGCGTCAACAAGTCCACTTTTCGTCCACTCTATGTCCACTTAATGGTCACTAAGTGGCTGGAATTACAAAGAAGTTATCAGAGCGGACAATGGCGGAAGGCTGCATGGACTTACAAATCTCTTTGGTGTACAGGCTGGTTGATGTGAGGAGGATAATACACATGAATGGGTCCACTCCCGATGAAACTATCATTCTATATAGATCGATCCAACTCCCAGGGGACTCTAGCTGAATGCAATTAGCAGATTAACATGCCTCCTCTTGGCGTTGAGCAGAAAACAGAAAAAAAAAAACTGGTGAATACACAAGAGGAGACGTGTGTGCTCTTTATGATTTCAGCTTCTGTTCAAAACCCTGGTATTCAAGATTTGACACTGCGTGAAATAAACATGTTGAAGGAATTCATCAAAGGCGATTGAATGGCCACTAGTAAGCAGATTATCCTTTGTATCCGGTAAATGGGCAAAATATTGAAAATGTTTAAAAGTAGACACAACTGGTCTATAAACGTACAAAGTCTGCTGATTTGCTACTGGTCTAAGACAACTGACTGGTATTTTTAGCGTTGGACTAATAACATACTCAGATCAAACTAGCGAGATTTTTAGCGATTATTTCAGATAAGGTTTCTGCTATTATAGATCTCATCTTTAGACCTGATCTTCGAACTTGTCAAATTTGATTCGGACTAGTAGTTTTCAGAGGTCAGCTTGAACAAGTGACCAGTAACCTTTAAATTTAAAGCCGCGTAATGATAGGAAAGCCTTTCTTGATGATCAAGGCACCTTGGAAAAGTGACAAAAATTTGCAACGGTTGACAGATTTAAAATGGCGATTGGTCTTCCGGTCGATTCACTTGATAAAGGGCATAAGAGTTTTGGGCTATTTTCTATATGTTTGACGTTGTATGGAAAATCCGAACTAAATTAGAAATTTAATTATCCTGCCTCGACCTTCAACACAATCATGACTTTTTATATATATATATAATTATTTTTACTTCATTCTAAAAAAAAAAAAAAAAAAAAAAAA